TTTTTGTCGAGTTGTTATTAAAGAAGAGAGAGAGAGAGAGAAGGCGAAGTGAGACAGTGACTTACGAAAGACGTCCTTGTCATTGGAGTGCAACGAACTCCAGCAAAGGGTGGGGGTGTCGAAGCGGTTCCAGTGAGGATGGAGAGATAGGGTGGGGGGAGGATGTCATCTCACACCACACCCGTCTGCAACAATCCATATATCTCCTCTCTTTCTTTCTATAAAAATGTATCTTGGCTATATTTTCTCTTGTTTTCTGCATTGAAATTTTTTTTATTACGAAAAAGTTCAACTACCCGTGGTTTTGATCACTAAGCTTAAAATTGTTCGCTAAGCGATCGCGAGCCTTTTTTTTAAAAATGAGTTCCAATCATATTATACGAAGATCATATTATACGAAGCAGATTGACCACATATTCAAAAAATATTTGTAGGGAGTATAATATTAACTTTTAAATTAATCTTAAAGTTGTATCATTTTTAGACCATTTCAAAAGAAATTTAGTAAATTTGCTTTGAATACAAAATACTGTTATTCATTTTTTATTATTAAATATTTCATAATGCTTTAAATCTTTATAATTGATATCGAAGTTTAATTACCCGCAGTTATGCAAGTTTAACTTTAAACTGATTTTGAAACTTTCAAGTGTGCTTTTCATATAAATTTCAACAACAAATTTTAACATATGATATAAGTTGCCCACTTCCTTTTTTTTTTTTTTTTTAAAGAAAAAGGAAAATAAAATTTGGAGTCACGTTAAAAATGATTGTTTTTGCAATTTAATAAATATGTTGTGAATATAAAAAATGCAATCTGCCAAATAACAGTACATATTTTTTTATTACAAAGCCTTTCTACCTTACCAGTATTATGCATCAAAATATTTTCTACACTTACTTTTTGTTGATTTTTAATATTGAAAACATTCTCACGATTATTTTTCTACGAAAATTCTGGCAGGTGTTACTGTTTTATAACTCTCAGCCCTAAGGTTTTTGTGATTTAATATATTAAAATACGAATTTTTCTTTAAGTTAAGAAATATTTGTAAACAAAATAGTCTTACTTTAAAATGTTTCACTGTAAATTTAAAAAAAAAATAATCTGTTATTCACATTTTTGAACTACGTGTACAAGTATTATTACAAATTAGTATCTTAAATTTTGTTTCCAAGTCAGGGATGTAGGCACATTCTCTTTTATTTCTAGTCTAGTTAAACAAACAAACAAAAAAAAACTAATGCCATTCTGTATATTTTTGACTCTGCTATTTTTGATATTTTGACCCGAACTATAATCATGCCTTGATTGAATAGTCTGGAATAGAACTTGCAAGCGTTTTCTTTATCATATAGGCATGTTCCATCAAATTGACAATTGAGGGTTTAAATTTGTGTGTAGCCGTAAATTGTCCAACTATAAGTATTGGGCTCAGAATAATGCTTGGATACTTTACTAACAGAAAATTAGTTCTGCGTTAAGAAATAAAGCATTGTTCAGCAGGGAAAAGTTTCATCAGGTTTGATCAAGTTTAAAGTTATGAAATTCCTTAAAAACTTCCCCATATAACTGTTTTCCTTTGTCCTAAAACACCTTAATAAAAAGTTTTTTTTTAATGTTGCTGTTTACTTGTTGCTTGTTGGTGTCTGCTGACTCAAAACAAAATGAAATATGCAACAAGATTATTCATCTCTCAAGCTCATCTGTATTTCTATAATGTTAAAAAAAAATACATACTCAATTTACTTTGTTTATTGACGAATAATAATACTGCGTACTCCGTAAGGTCATTCAATAATAATAATAAAAAAGATATGGCCGAAATTCCAAAGCTTCGTCACAGTTACTATCTGACGAAAAAGTCTCTCACGAGTGATAAGAAACAAAAGCTTCTACGACCACTTCCGTCATTTCATCTTTTCGCATATGGTATCTGTAGTTCAAGGACGGATCAGCAGAGTTTTAGTAAAAGACGACGGATCACGGCAAACAATGGAAAAGAACGCGTGGATTTCTTCTCTATTCTTTTTGGGCCCACAACACATCCCGAAATATTTTTTTCTTATTGCTTTTTATCTTCCTTATCGTCTTAGCTGCAGAATTTCACCCATGCCAAATTGGCGAAGGATGTTTATTTTCCATCACCCCTTTCTCTCTCGAATTCTTTGTTGTCTTAGAAATTTTATTTTAAACTGAGTGAAGTAAATAAAAACCAAGTCCAATGTGATGAGTAATGTTTTTTCTTCTTCTTCTTTGCCGCTTGTTCTGACTGGTCTGATGGAATAAAGCTACAAATTTTTCTGGCACTCTAAAGTATAATTTACTTCCTGGTGCGTAATCCCCCCCCCTCTACAAAATTAGCATTTTCGAATTATGATTTATTAGTATAAAATGTTGTTGTTGGCTGATCACAATTTCTTATAATTTGTTGAATTGAAGGATCAAATAAAAGGTAAGAACTGATAAGAATATCTTAAGTGCAGTGATAAATCGGCTTAATTTGATCTCACAAATATATGAGTTCTTACGTATGAGTCGTGATTTGTTCGAACCGAAATAAATAAAATTCAACCTCTTTTGAAAAAAATTTTCCTTCAAAAGAGGTTGGATTTTATTCATTAATTATTAATGTAAATCGACAGATTTAACCGTTGTCATTAGATGAGTGTATGATATAAATGTCTGTCCCTTCTAAGATGTTCATCTGGATATAACCTAATAACAACGTTTACAAAACAGTGTTGAAAGCTTTTAAGATTTCATGAAGACTTGACGATTTTAAATAAAATGAAGAGTTTTCTCACTGTATTTAACAGAGCTAACTATTTTTCACTCATTTTAAAAATTTCCTTACTTTGTTCAAAATCGAATTTTATCATGCTAAATTTTTAATTTTTTTGTGTTTTTCTAATTATTTAAAGATTATAATTTCGGAGAAATAAAAAAAAATGTTTTTAAAATATGATTGAAATTTAATACTTTTTTTTTTTTAATTTATTGAAATTGCTGTTGTCTTAAAATTTGATTATCATAGAAAACGAATATTACGCTTTAAAAATATTAGTTTTTTTTTGATGACTAAGACATTTCTGGAATCATCATTTTAGGAAAATAGCATGTTCTAAATCTATACATTTAATAAATAACACGGTGTCAGTAATTTTTCGGAAAACAAAATGCAATTTTAATTTGTTAAGAAAACCAATTATTCATCAATATAAGGATTAAAAAGTTAAGTGATTTCGCACAATACATAGTTCTATTAAGTGTGTGTAAAAGTAACATATAAAAAATACGTACGTTCGTAAGAGGTACTGTGAATATTATTTTGTATTATTCACTTTTTATTATCGCATAATTTCTCATTTAGAATCGAGGACAAGGTTACAATTTATTTCAATATCGAAAGAAAATGTACTTTTTTGCTAAGTATAATCTTTAAACTCGCATAATTATTTATTGAAATCAATTAACTAGCGGGAAACTAGGAGTTAAGCTTACGGGAGAACGCTGGGCATAAATATCTTTCCCCTTCTTTTCTGTAAAAGTTCTTTCCTACCAGATGTATGATTGTTGCAGTGAAGCTCTATCTTTATGCCGAGTTATGTGGGTCGGTTATTGGTTGCTGATATTTTTAAATGTTTAAGAAAGAGATTTTTCAATTGTATGGTTATCCGGTTGCTTGTTTTATAATTCGTAATCGCAACTCAAGTCTTAGATTACCTAAAAAAATTTATGACCCATTTTTTTAAAAATAATAATTTTTATTGCTTTTGCGTTTACATTTTGTAAAATATCATTTATTTTCAATATTATAAAATTTTTTAGTATTTTCCTTTGCAGTGAGAGAAGCATTTATGTATATAAATGTAGATAATTACTGGATACTGATTCTATAGGTTTTATCAAATTCCCCATTTTGCGCAAAATGTTATAAAAATAACCCTAAAAATTTAATGAATATCCAGTACTAGCTAAATTATAATTATTTGGCTCATTTCCATTAATTTCACAGTCTAAGGTAATAACAACAAGTCTTTTTTTTTAGAAAAAGAAAAAAAAACTTGTTTTAAGAGTATTTCTCAGTTATACGATCGTTTTATAATTTGATGCGGCATTCCGTTGTCTGGATTAAGATTCTGATAAGAAACGGCATCAATTCAAAATTTTTAAATTTATACATTCTTTATTTATGTTTGTAGAGAATTTGAAGTCAAGATAAATTTTCTTTCATAATTTATGTTTATTTTCTCGGAACCTTAGCAAACCTTATTCAGTTCATTATTCAGAATTTGAAGCCAAGATAAATTTTCGTTCATAATTTACGTTTATTTTCTCGGAACCTTAGCAAACCTTATTCAGTTCATTACCGACACAACTGGTAATTTTCTCGTATTGTATAAACATTGTTATTAATACTGGTAAAAACATTCTGTTTCTGTGATAAAAATACGTGTAATCTCTTTAAACTCTAAAAGTATTATTTCATTGCAAATGTCATCGGAAACTCGAAACAAAAGAAGAACAAAATCAAAATATTAAATTAATGTGGCCATTCATATACATTTTGTATCACTCAAAAATGAGTTCTGTTGTTATATCTTTTTTTTCTCTAATTTTCGACAGTAAAAAATACCTACATCAGGTTCATGGTAAGGAACGTAATTATATTAGCTTTGAAAACATCCGCCGAATAAAAACTGGGTTAGAAAACAATTTTCAAAGACGAAATGATTTATATACAAATTAGTGATAGAAAAAGAATGTAATATAGATACAATAAACATCGGACTTTCAGGCTATGTTATGCAGATAACATTTTTATTCTTAGTGTTTCTTCATTTATTAGAAATAAATATTTAGTTTCTTATGCACTTAACGAGCGCGCTTAGATATTTTTTTTCCTTCTCCTTCAAAAAAGAAAAAAACAAATTATTATTATAAAGTGTATGTTGCGTGTTTTTCTTCATGAACTATAAATGTGTATATCTTTCAGGTTCAGCGAAAAAGGAGAATCATGTCGAAAGTGCGATGCAAAAATATTAAGAATGATTGCCCGAAACCAACATGCGACGATCCTGTCTTACTTCCCCAAAGATGCTGCAAAACATGCCCTGGAGAAGGTATGGCATTTATTGAAAATAAATAAATCTATCTATCTATCTTTCTATATAGATATATACGTCCAAAAACAGACAATTATAATTATTTATTAATTGTTTCGGAAATCTAAATCTAATAAACACAATACGATCATTTAGGTAGAGATTTACTTAACCTTCATATTCGTAACGTTGTCCATTGGAAACTTGGTTAATGTATTTAAATCTCCGTACTTAGTTTAAATGGCATGCTTTATAAGAGAAATATTTTATTATTATTTAACTTAAACCGTTTAAATTGAAGCTATATTTATGTGGATTATTTTGTTTCCCCAAGTGGATTATGGACTTTAAAAAAATTTCAACTTAACCGAAAATTTGGTTAAAATTTTTTATTATATGTTTTATTTAAAAACAAAAATACTTTGGTTGATTATTTAATTAAATATGTCTTTTCTTATAAAAATTATTTCAATCATTCCTATAAAAAAGCTAAAAGTATTAAAGATGTTGAAATAATAATAATAATAAATATTTTTTTAAAACGTTTGGCTTTTTGCGTTAAATTTTCGTAATTATGTTAGACATAGGTTCAGTTCTTGAGTTATTCAAATTCTATGCAAATATTAATTGAACGAAACAAGAGACGCCATTTTCCAATTACTTAAAAACAAATTAATACAAATATAATGTAATCAACCAGCTTGATTCATATTTAGAAAAGTTTATTCGTACAAATTAATCATTCATTTGCATTATTCATTATAATTATTTATGAATCTTAAATTAAAACAAACACATATATGCCTACGTAAACAATAAAATATAACTTCATCAATTAAATATAAATATTATATTAAGGTAATAATAAATTTATATCATGAATTAAGCATAAATTAAATATATCAACATTAATAACTATTTTAACACTTTGTCGGAGGTAGCGATGATACACAACATCATTTAGATTACATGGTATTATTACACTGGTTATATATAACCAAAATCTTAACTAATGCTTTAACAATTGACATACAGCGAAAATTAACTTAACCATTCAGTATAATAAAAATCTCCTAAACTATATTGCACTACCGCATTAAACAAATATTTTTGATGCTTGACTTAAAGCATGCATCTTATTGTAATTTACGAAACTTTTATATATAGGATGCTAAGCATAAACGGGCTATGCTTATTATTAAGTGATAAAAATTTTATTTAAGTAACAGAATGTTCCATAAATTATAAATAATTAGACATTTTTGATGTTTCATTTTGATAAATACGCTTTCATCAGCCTTTAGCTTTCTTGACTTAAGGAGTTAGAAGGAAGCAAAATGTATTCTCATTAATTTAAAATACACGATCTTTCAACGAAACTTAAATTAAACCATTTATTTTAACCAGCAACTCTACCACACCTCCATCTGACGCAACCCCTTTGCGAAACTCTCGCAATGTCCTTTAGAAGACGAAACGCTTATTAAAATCCCTGACATCCAGCATCGAAAACATCAACTCAAGTGAATAATTACCATGTGTCGCGCTGTTCAGGACAAGCGGTTGAAACTAGCTAAATCCGCTTTCTAATTAAGATGAATTTGACGTCAGCAATTTTTCGAATTCCACTTATTTTCGCCATTTTCTCTTTTAACCAGCTCATCTCTTTTTTAACGAGCATTCCAATTTTTTAGCCCGCCGTATTGAATACGGTGGTAATTCTCTGTTGGAGACCATTACAACATCCTTATCCTCCCGCTAATTCATTGCGAGATTGGAATTCGAAGATGCTATCTTATCCTTTGGGGTATGTTCTCGAACAACCGTAATTTTAGTTTCCCTCATTTACGAATTCCACGGTTGAAAATATTTGACGCCTTGATTTGGTTCTTTGTATGCAAATATCTTTTCCCCAACCGAGGGATTTAATTATTTTTTCTTAAAAATCGGTTGCGACACGTAAAATGTCCTTTTTTATAAGGTTAAAAAACTTTTTAATAAGCTTAAAAGTATAAAGACAAAAATCTAATTTCTAGTGCTAGATAATACGGAGGGGCATGTTTTCTATACCAACGTCTTCACATTGTGTTGTCCGGATCATTATTTCAGGGTAATATTATTTGTTATTGAATTTTGTTACATGACACAAAATGAAATGCGCGGAAAACCCCTTTTCATTTAGAGCTTTCAATAAAAAAAAGTACAAAAACCAATTAGAAAGTTGATAGAAACTTTTTACACTTTTAAGATAGTCAAATTCGACTTTCTTCAAAAGTAACCAATTATGATTCATTGCATAAATATGCCGAAATATTTTTTTACATGTTTTCCGCCCATGCGCAGAATGATATGATTACTCTAAATGCTCATGTCTTGCGCAATTCTTTACGAATTTTTTTTTCAAATTTTAAAATGATGTTTTTATTAATTAAAAATTACTCTAAAATATTTTTTTTAAATTTTTATTGAATATTTCTGCAGTTATAGTAAGAAAACGTAAGGCAAAATAATTTGTTTCTTATAAAATTGTCATTATTTCTTGTCTTGTAGTTGCGAAATATAATGACAATTGTCTTTACGAAATTTTGTGCAGTTATTGCATATGATAACCAAAATAAATGATGTAAGTTACAAGATTTTTGCTGTATATTTTAGCATAGGGTATTCAAAAACATTTTTATTTGTTGGTATCTTATTACCATTCCCTCAAACGTCTAAAAGCCTTGAATTTTATTGATATGTATAAGATATCGCATTACTTCAACAGTTTTAAAATTATTTTCTAAGTATTTCTTGTGAAATATGAGAAAATAAGCATAGAAGAAGAATGAGTTAGCAATATTATGGGATTACGAAAAAGATGAGCATCTTTAATAACATTATTAATTGAATAACGACACGGATTATTAGCATTTATTAATGAATAATGACACATCCATTACAGTATAAACAAGAATAAAATGAGCGTCATTATTGAGCATTAAGAATAAAGCTCTCCCTAAGCAATAGCCATTAGTATTCTATGTAAATGCAGCAAAAGTTATTGAAATTTTTTTCCTACATTTTAATTTTGGTATAAGAAAATGTACATGCTCCGATATAATTTTTTTTAAAATTAGATTAGATGGAATAAGAATTATCAAATTAAATGGTGTCATATATAACCAGGTTTCGAAGAAAAAATATGAAAGTAAAATATTTGAAGTTGAAGTGAAAATATTCCCCCCCCCCCTCCTAAATGAAGATTTTTAAAATTGCTTAATCATTTCCATTTTTTTTATATTTTTTCGAGTCCAAACAATGCAACGTCTGTGTTACTTTTCAGATATTAATAAATTAGAACGCAAACTTTGTTTATTTTTACAGAACTGTGTCTTTTCTTCGTTTTCATAATTATCTTATCAGAGCGCGCTGATTAAAAATTGGCATAACTAAATCTGTCGCAGTTATGAATAACCTTTTACAGTTAGAAACTGACAGCAGCTTTAAAAAATAGTATATTTTTCACTAAAATTAATATTCTTCAAGCTTATTTGGGAATTTTACTAATGCTTAGGAAGCATAAAATTATGCGTTCATGTTAAATATTCAGTTTTGTATGGATCAATCATTGTCCTCCGCGTTGTTTATGTTTGAAAGGGCATTATTAAAGCCTCTTCGGTGGTCTTATTCGCCTTTCTTTGCATTTTCGATAGCTTACCTTTCTTAGGTGGTATTAAACACTTTCCAAATACCCCTACATCCGGCATAAATTAAAATAAAAAAATGGTGGGGGATACTATTATATTATTATTCTATTCATTGGATAATCCACCCATAGAAGAAATATGTAGATTGTGGTTTAACTTACTTCAGTGGAAAAAGAACATTTTTGTACACGTGACCTCTCTATAACTATCAGTATTTTGTACGTTGGGATTTATTTTTAAAGAGCTTTGCAACGATGAAAACCTGGCTTTGGAAAGGGAAAAAAAAATTCTTTTATATTGTTTGTGACTTCGAGTTTTCTCACCGTCTATTTATGTGATATTTTCCTTTTCTCTGAAAAAGCATTTCCTTTCCTTTAACCATTGTTGAGGCTGCATAGACTTGTGCATGTTTCTAGCTTTTCATGGTCGTTATTATCGTTCTATTTATGGCATTTAAAATGCATTTCTTTTTGTACTTACGCTTTGTATAAAAGGTAAATAGCAGGGAATTTTGAAGAAAGCTGATCCGGATTATAGTTTATGATATCTTTTTTTTTTTTTTTTTTTTTTTTTTTTTTTACCTTCAAGGATTTCCGTTTTCCACATGGTATTTGTTTGAGGTGTGCGGTTTAACAAAATTTTATCCCCTTTTCAATCAGATTGTACTTGCAATCTTTATAAATAAATTCTTTTTGGGGTGAGCTTATATTTTTTTCCAAGATCTGTATCATGCGATTATGAAAACCTACCTTATTTTACTAGAATTGGTTCGAAGTTATATTTTTATTGATGTGATGTATTTTAGTAAATTTTATTTAAAATGTGAAATTTATGGTTCTATGTTTTCCAAATTGACATTTCTAAATTTGTTATTAAGGGACGTTAATAAAATTCAAATGTATTGTTTTGCAATATTTTATCTATTAATATTTTCGAAGAACAGAAGGGTTTAAAATTGAGTTGGAACAGGGAGTAATGCAAGAGTTTTTTTATCTTGTTGATAGTGGTGAAGAGGGAGACTTAAAAAAATAAATAAGTAAAAATTAATTTACTCAGTTTGTATAATGGGAACGCATTTTAGGTGGTCATTTTTTTAAACTAATTCTATAAAGAAAATAATAAATTTCTGGCAATAATATTTCAGAAATTTATAAATTTATTTTAATGCAATTGTTAACTTTTTTCATATAAAAAAATCTCATGTTTATTTTTGCCCTTTTATTCAAAGTAACTAACTAAATAAATGAAAGAATAATAGTTTTTATGCAAGCTCAATACTAAGTGGCTTATTTAAAAGATTTTGAGTTATATTATCGAAAAAGTAATTACAACTTTCATTGTAAGCTTTTATAGATATCTAAGCATATTTGTGCCGAAAATAATTTTTTTTCTTTCCTTGTTTACTGTACCAAAAAAAAAATTATCTTGCTTATTCGATCTAAGGCACTTCCTAATATTAAATTGCAAACGTCGCATAAATTCTACTACATTCCAACTATTTCTAATATTTCTTATCTCTACAGCTTTTTTTTTAAATTTCTTATTGCTATACTTAATTAACGAAAATTATACTATGAAAGATACTTCACATTTTTTTTTTAAAATCAGGGGTCTGTCCAGACATTTTGTGAAAGGTCCGTTTTTCGTAAAATTGTGAAAAAATTAGTCACATTCTTTCAAGCAGGGTCCGCTTTTATGAATTTGTGCAAATAGGGTCCGTTATTGCAAAAAAAAANTGTAAGCTTTTATAGATATGTAAGCATATTTGTGCCGAAAACTCTTTTTTTTCTTCCATGTTTGCTGTACCAAAAAAAAAAATTATCTTGCGTATTCGATCTAAGGCACTTCCTAATATTAAAGTGCAAACGTTGCATAAATTCTACTACATTCCAATTATTTTTAATACTTCTTATCTCTACAATTTTTTTTAATTTCTTATTGCTATACTTAATTAACGAAAATTATACTATGAAAGATTCTTAAAATTTTTTTAAATAAATTGACTCGACGAAATTGAAATATATTTTTAGTTAACATTTCGTAAATTATTTCCCAAAAGTTGTTCCCTCTTAGAAATTTTCGATATTTTGAATAAAAATGACGAATCCCTATTTCTACCACTTGGATTGTTAAAAAAAAAAATGATTTTAGTAATTATTTACCTACAAGCACTGGATTTAAAAATTTGTTGTTAAACCTTTTTTAAAAAAGTTGTAACATAAAATATTTTTTCTTAATTGTTGTGTGGTTTACAATTTCTTTTCTGGTAGTAAATACACTTTTACTTGGAGGAAAAATCTATTATTTTATTCGATTCAATGATATTGAGTAACAAATATGAGATAAACTCGTAATTTTTTTCAGACTATGCTGATTTGGAAGAAGATATAGCGACCCGGAAGCTAGAATCAGAAGATGAAGATAAAATTCTGAAAGGTATGTAGAATATTACTTGCTGTTGTCTAGAGAGCAATTGTTTTTACCAGAACAATTATTTTATACAACTGTCATACTTTTCTCCCTTGTGTAGTGCTTTATAGCTATAACTTACCAATGCTTGAATTATACATAAATAAGCTTGATCTACTACAGGCCTTAATATGTTTTTATATACCACATGCGAAAAAAAGACCCTACTAGTTTTTTATTTTGTCACCAGCGTTGAACAGAAGATCCAGATGAGATTAGCAGTTAATGATGTTTAATTATAAAACCGTTGCATTTTTCAACCCAATCACGAAGAGAAGGAATCTCAACTAAAAATGGGAGAAGAAACTTAACAACAGCACATTCAAATATTTGGAGAAATTAGCTTTCGTGGAGATATTATTTTTTCATGAAATTAATTCGCATTCGCTTTGCACGGAAAAGGTAAACCTCTAAGTGGTTAGTTCACCAACAAGAAGACTATAAATGTACTTGATCTATAATCTGTCTGCTCCAGATGTCTATGACAATGATAGAAGTATACGAATTAGCCACTAATTGCTGGGATTCGAACTCAGAGCCATCCCGGTTGTAATTTTAAGTTATTGTCACATTTTCAACTTCTATCTTTAACTATTTACTGTTGCATACCTTCTTTCATCCACCGAAGCTTTTTTACCGGTCCAGGGAATCATATGTCTGTTCTTCGCCACCATAGCTAAGAACCAGGTAGGTTTTATAACATTGAATACAATGCTGTTCACTTAAGCCTATAAGCATTGGGGATATAAAAAATTCAAAATAATATTTTACAAATTGTATTTACGTATATTTAAGTTTTTCCATCCAATAAAATAATTATTTTTTACTATATCATTCTGCATATTATGTTCATTTAACGAAATTAATTCCGACCAGTAAGACAATTATCCATAAAAGTGGTAGCAAAGGGTTGAGATTTAGAAGCGAATGAATATATAGAACCCTTGCAGAAAATTTATCAGTCAGTCTTGACAAATGGGGTTTCCTTTTTAGAAATTAAATGTTATTTACTTCTTTTGGTGATGCGTTTGTTAACGCTTTTCAGCCCTTGCTTCTCGAATTTAACTTAAACACTACCGTGTAACACTAAATAGTGATGAGGATTGGCTGAACTTCAAATATCTTCTTGGCAAACTTTCTTGCGTCTGACATTGGCTTTTCATTCTTCAAAGATTCTTTAGAAGATTATAAGATAGCTTCGGAAAATAATGCCAAATCGTTCTGCTAATTCTTTTATTTTTCGCTGAAACAGAGTAAACAGCCCGTGACTTTATTTATAATTTGGAACTGAAATAACGTTTTGTGCCTATTCACCTTTTAGGCTTCTAATGTGAATTTATAAAAAATTCTTATGTTTATATAATCTATCAGATATATGGTCAAATTAATTACCATATTTTGTGCAACTTAAGAGCTACAACAAAATGTTAACTTAAATTTGTCTTTATGGAATGTCCTTTAAAATATTTTAATCTGAAAAAAAGGACACCGTTATTTTAATAAAGAGATTCTAAAATTAGGCCATTCAAAGAACCGTTTGATCAAAAATACTTTTTTTTTAAATCTTCAATTCCTCTCCATTTCTGATATTTATTGATGATTAATTGACTTGCTANTTATATTTTTTTTCAAGATCTGTATCATGCGAATTATGAAAATCTACCTTATTTTACTAGAATTGGTTAGAAGTTATATTTTTATTAATGTGATGTATTTTAGTAAATTTTATTTAAAATTTTGAAATGTGAAATTCCTGGTTCTCTGTTTTCCAGATTGACATTTCTAAGTTTATTTTTTAGTGTTATAAGGGACGTTAATAAAATTCAAATATATTGTTTTGTAATATTTTAGCTATTAATTTTTTCATAGAACAGTAGGGTTTAAAATTGCGTTGGAACAGGGGATAATGCAAGAGTTTAATCTTGTTGATAGTGGTGAAGAGGGAGACTTAAGAAAATAAATAAATAAAAATTAATTTACTCAGTTAGTATTATGAGAACGCATGTTAGTTGGTCCTTTTTTACACTAATTCTATAACGAAAATAATGAATTTCTGGCTATAATATCTCAGAAATTTATAAATCTATTTTGATGCAATTGTTAACTTTTTACGTATCAAAAAATCTTAGGTTTATTTTTGCACTTTTATTCAAAGTAACTAACTAAATAAATGGAAGAATAATTGTTTTTATACAAGCTCAAAACTGAGTGGCTTATTTAAAAGCTTTTGAGTTACGTTATCGAAAAAGTAAATGCAACTTTCATTGTAAGCTTTTATAGATATGTAAGCATATTTGTGCCGAAAACTCTTTTTTTTCTTCCATGTTTGCTGTACCAAAAAAAAAAATTATCTTGCGTATTCGATCTAAGGCACTTCCTAATATTAAAGTGCAAACGTTGCATAAATTCTACTACATTCCAATTATTTTTAATACTTCTTATCTCTACAATTTTTTTTAATTTCTTATTGCTATACTTAATTAACGAAAATTATACTATGAAAGATTCTTAAAATTTTTTTAAATAAATTGACTCGACGAAATTGAAATATATTTTTAGTTAACATTTCGTAAATTATTTCCCAAAAGTTGTTCCCTCTTAGAAATTTTCGATATTTTGAATAAAAATGACGAATCCCTATTTCTACCACTTGGATTGTTAAAAAAAAAAATGATTTTAGTAATTATTTACCTACAAGCACTGGATTTAAAAATTTGTTGTTAAACCTTTTTTAAAAAAGTTGTAACATAAAATATTTTTTCTTAATTGTTGTGTGGTTTACAATTTCTTTTCTGGTAGTAAATACACTTTTACTTGGAGGAAAAATCTATTATTTTATTCGATTCAATGATATTGAGTAACAAATATGAGATAAACTCGTAATTTTTTTCAGACTATGCTGATTTGGAAGAAGATATAGCGACCCGGAAGCTAGAATCAGAAGATGAAGATAAAATTCTGAAAGGTATGTAGAATATTACTTGCTGTTGTCTAGAGAGCAATTGTTTTTACCAGAACAATTATTTTATACAACTGTCATACTTTTCTCCCTTGTGTAGTGCTTTATAGCTATAACTTACCAATGCTTGAATTATACATAAATAAGCTTGATCTACTACAGGCCTTAATATGTTTTTATATACCACATGCGAAAAAAAGACCCTACTAGTTTTTTATTTTGTCACCAGCGTTGAACAGAAGATCCAGATGAGATTAGCAGTTAATGATGTTTAATTATAAAACCGTTGCATTTTTCAACCCAATCACGAAGAGAAGGAATCTCAACTAAAAATGGGAGAAGAAACTTAACAACAGCACATTCAAATATTTGGAGAAATTAGCTTTCGTGGAGATATTATTTTTTCATGAAATTAATTCGCATTCGCTTTGCACGGAAAAGGTAAACCTCTAAGTGGTTAGTTCACCAACAAGAAGACTATAAATGTACTTGATCTATAATCTGTCTGCTCCAGATGTCTATGACAATGATAGAAGTATACGAATTAGCCACTAATTGCTGGGATTCGAACTCAGAGCCATCCCGGTTGTAATTTTAAGTTATTGTCACATTTTCAACTTCTATCTTTAACTATTTACTGTTGCATACCTTCTTTCATCCACCGAAGCTTTTTTACCGGTCCAGGGAATCATATGTCTGTTCTTCGCCACCATAGCTAAGAACCAGGTAGGTTTTATAACATTGAATACAATGCTGTTCACTTAAGCCTATAAGCATTGGGGATATAAAAAATTCAAAATAATATTTTACAAATTGTATTTACGTATATTTAAGTTTTTCCATCCAATAAAATAATTATTTTTTACTATATCATTCTGCATATTATGTTCATTTAACGAAATTAATTCCGACCAGTAAGACAATTATCCATAAAAGTGGTAGCAAAGGGTTGAGATTTAGAAGCGAATGAATATATAGAACCCTTGCAGAAAATTTATCAGTCAGTCTTGACAAATGGGGTTTCCTTTTTAGAAATTAAATGTTATTTACTTCTTTTGGTGATGCGTTTGTTAACGCTTTTCAGCCCTTGCTTCTCGAATTTAACTTAAACACTACCGTGTAACACTAAATAGTGATGAGGATTGGCTGAACTTCAAATATCTTCTTGGCAAACTTTCTTGCGTCTGACATTGGCTTTTCATTCTTCAAAGATTCTTTAGAAGATTATAAGATAGCTTCGGAAAATAATGCCAAATCGTTCTGCTAATTCTTTTATTTTTCGCTGAAACAGAGTAAACAGCCCGTGACTTTATTTATAATTTGGAACTGAAATAACGTTTTGTGCCTATTCACCTTTTAGGCTTCTAATGTGAATTTATAAAAAATTCTTATGTTTATATAATCTATCAGATATATGGTCAAATTAATTACCATATTTTGTGCAACTTAAGAGCTACAACAAAATGTTAACTTAAATTTGTCTTTATGGAATGTCCTTTAAAATATTTTAATCTGAAAAAAAGGACACCGTTATTTTAATAAAGAGATTCTAAAATTAGGCCATTCAAAGAACCGTTTGATCAAAAATACTTTTTTTTTAAATCTTCAATTCCTCTCCATTTCTGATATTTATTGATGATTAATTGACTTGCTACAAACTTATTTCCAGTATTGCATGGCATCAGAAAAAATAATTATTGTATGAAAAATTCTATACAAAAAGTCATTATATTTAAACATCTTGCTCTACAGTTCTAAATGTCAAACGATTCTATTAAATTGGAGTTTAAAAAAGACATGTGAAGGCATTTTTTTGGTATCATAATGTACGGAAAGTTCGTTAGCTGTAAAACATTCCTGAGATAGTTGCAGCACTTATTTTTATGAAAAATATAAAAACATTTTTATTAAACTTAAACATTGGAAAACAACAACATTAAATTTTGATTTCTTTCCTTGAATGATCAATCACGCCTTATTCAAGTCTTTCCGGCCTTGAATGAATACCATAACGCAGATGGAGATATGCCATAAGAGATTGTTCTATTTATGATTATTTAATATCTAAATTCAGAGTTGATAACATTGTTACCTGTATTCTATTTAGAGACATGACTAATTGTTTCGCATAGATCCTGTTTCTTCTTCAGTGTTCTATTTATTTTTGTTTGTTGTATCGGTGTTTTCTTTTTAAAAAAAATCTAAAATTTTGGTATTAAAACGGTCATAAGGTCATTTACTTTCATTAGTTTATTGCGCGAAAAACAATATCTAAAAATGCGCATACATAATTTATTATGTGTTGGAATTAATTGATAGACTTAATTAGTATTGAATTGATTAACATACTGGTGCTGAAGCTGTTTAAATTTTTATCTGCATAAAATTCAATGAAAAAATTATTTGAAACTTGTAAATTGTCTTGAATTTTATAAGTTTCTTAGTCACGACAATTCATTATATTATAGTTAATTATTATAAGTAAATGATTATACTTTTGATTGACTAAGTTATAAATATAACATAAATACTCATTAATGTATGAATATTTTTGTTTTTTATCGTATTTTATATTACACGAATTAATTTTACTGAATTATTTATTAAAACTTGTACGTGGAATGTACAATAACTTTTTTTTAAATTTACGAACTGAAAATTACTGCTATCCGCGTGTAGTAAGTTGTTAATCCGTAATATTCTTAAATAGCTTATTTTTATTTTTATCTACTTTAAAGTACATATTCAGGAGTCTGTTTAGAAGAAATTTGGGTCTGTTAACGGACCCTTCACGAAATATCTTTTCATAAAAACGGACCCTTCACGAAATATTTTAACTTAAAAACGGACCCTTCACAAAATAATTTATCTTATAATTGGACCATTCACAAATTTGTTTATCTTCGTTATTGTTTTGTTAATTGAATAAACCCTTCCCAGGAAGGGGGAGGGGAAGAGAAACAAATGCAAACCAACTAAGTTTTGTCTTCAGCAGAAGCTTCTTCCTTTATACGTCCGAAATGAATATTCTGCGTTCAGCAGTATAAACTATAAATACCAGATATTTGTATGTTGTATCTCTAATTTAGTAGCAGCAATTGCTGCTTATTTTTTAAAATTTAATTTTTTAAATNAAATAATTATTTTTTACTATATCATTCTGCATATTATGTTCATTTAACGAAATTAATTCCGACCAGTAAGACAATTATCCATAAAAGTGGTAGCAAAGGGTTGAGATTTAGAAGCGAATGAATATATAGAACCCTTGCAGAAAATTTATCAGTCAGTCTTGACAAATGGGGTTTCCTTTTTAGAAATTAAATGTTATTTACTTCTTTTGGTGATGCGTTTGTTAACGCTTTTCAGCCCTTGCTTCTCGAATTTAACTTAAACACTACCGTGTAACACTAAATAGTGATGAGGATTGGCTGAACTTCAAATATCTTCTTGGCAAACTTTCTTGCGTCTGACATTGGCTTTTCATTCTTCAAAGATTCTTTAGAAGATTATAAGATAGCTTCGGAAAATAATGCCAAATCGTTCTGTTAATTCTTTTATTTTTCGCTGAAACAGAGTAAACAGCCCGTGACTTTATTTATAATTTGGAACTGAAATAACGTTTTGTGCCTATTCACCTTTTAGGCTGCTGTCTTCTAATGCGAATTTATAAAAAATTCTTATCTTTATATAATCTATCAGATATATGGTCAAATTAATTACCATATTTTGTGCAACTTAAGAGCTACAACAAAATGTTAACTTGAATTTGTCTTTATGGAATGTCTTTTAAAATATTTTAATCTGAGAAAAGGGACACCGTTATTTTAATCAAGAGATTCTAAGATTAGGCCATTCATAGAACTGTTTGACCCAAAAGACTTTTTTTTTTCTAAATTTTCAATTCCTCTCTATTTCTGATATTTATTGATGATCAATTAACTTGTTACAAACTTATTTCCGTTCCATGACATTAGAAAAAAATATTATTGTAAGAAAAAGTCGATATATAAAGTCATTATATTTAAACATCTTGTTCTAAAGTTCTAAATATCAAACGATTCTATTAAATTGACGTTTAAAAGATAATTTTATGTTTTTAACTTTTATCTTAGCATAAAATAAAGCGTATCGAGGCTATACTGAGTTCTAAATATTAAATAATTTCATAACTGTAGTATTTTTGGTATATTCTATTTCTAATTTTTATTGTAGAATAGATTAAGATGCATCAAGTAATTTTTTATGTTACATAATATTTTGTTGCTCCAAGTATCAAACGCCTCATTTTAAAAATAGTTTTATATTTATAATTTTCATTTTAGAACAAAAATGAGATATCTGAAAGTATTTTTTTTTGTTCTTAGTATGAAACGATTTTATAAATTATGCGATTTATAATATTTTCCCCCCTAATTTTTAAGTACAAAATAAAAGGCATGTGAAGGTATTTTTTTGGTATCATAATGTTCTTCCTTTCTACGGAAAGTTTGTTAGCTGTAAAACATTTCTGAGATAGTTGCAGCACTTATTTTTATAAAAAATATTAAAACATTTTTATAAAACTTAAACATTGGAAAACAACAACATTAAATTTTGATTTTTTTCCTTGAATGATTAATCACGCCTAATTCAAGTCTTTCCGGCCTTGGATGAATACCATAACGCAGATGGATATGCCATAAGAGATTGTTCTATTTATGATTATTTAATATCTAAATTCAGAGTTGATAACATTGTTACCTGTATTCTATTTAGAGACATGACTAATTGTTTCGCATAGATCCTGTTTCTTCTTCAGTGTTCTATTTATTTTTGTTTGTTCTATCGGTGTTTTCTTTTTAAAACAATCTAAAATTTTGATATTAAAACGGTCATAAGGGGTCATTTACTTTCATTAGTTTATTGCGCGAAAAACAATATCTAAAAATGTGCATACATAATTTATTATGCGTTGGAATAAATTGATAGATAGACTTAATTAGTATTAAATTGATTAACATATTGGTGCTGAAACTGTTCAAATTTTTATCTGCGTAAAATTGAATGAGAAAATTGTCTTGAATTTTTTAAGTGTCTTAGTCACGACTATTCATTATATAACAGTTAATTATTATAAGTAAATGACTATATTTTTGATTGATTAAGTTATAAATATAGCATAAATACTCATTAATATATGAATATTTTTGTTATTTATCGTATTTTATATTATACGAATTAATTTTACTTAATTATTTATTAAAAGTTGTACGCGGTAAGTACAATAATTTTTTTAAAATTTAAAAACTTAAAATTATTGCTATCCGTGTGTAGTAAGCTGTTGATCCGTAATATTCTTAAAAAGCTTATTTTTATTTTTAACTACTTTAAAGTATATATTAATTGAGAAGGTATTTATTATTGTTGTACATAATTGAAATTTTAATTATTTAAAGATTTCGTTATTTGCACGAAATAGCGTTCTCTTCAATTTTTTTCCAAAAGGAAATACGCTCTCAAAAGGGAAGAAAAGGGGGAAGGAACATATTTGATGTATGTTTCTTTTTTACATAACTAGATTAGATTTTATTGACTCTTCTCGCAAGATCGTAAAAGAAAAGTCTGCAGGCGCCAGTTGGCGATACTTTCTGACCACGCCTCAGCAGACAGTTTTCTTAAGCGTCTTGGACATAGAATAACAATAACATAATTTCAAGAGTTGAATCAAGAAAAACGAAGAGAAATTTGCATAAAGAAGAAATGTTTTAGAAATAATAACATAACTCAATATATTGTTAAAAATAATAATGATTTCATGGAACTTTTACTCGTGGTGTGACAAGGTCATAAAGTTGCTCGCTGTAGGGTGGTCATCATACTTCAAGACACGATTCCATTCATGGTGGTTTTAATTTGTTTTATCATCTCCTCGCAGTGTAACAGCAATAGTATTATTTTTTTATTGACAATTAGAGGACGCCGCCCCTTCTCGCTTCGTTCACCACCCCCACCTTTGTACCGTAATAATTTTAATTTCTTTAACCATCAATATTATCAAGATTATCTGTTGCATCAAAATTAAGAATTATCCAACTAAAAGATCCCAAAAATTTTTATTTTATTTTATTAATACATATTTAGTTTTTAATTCACGTGCGATAAAATTTGAACTCTATTTCCGTAGCAACTTTATCCAATAACTTTTTTTTCTTTCCAATTTCTTATATAATTTCTGTTTGCTAGAAAAACTCGCAAATTATTTTTTGTCTAATAAATTCTTTAGCAATAATAATCCCAAAAAATTGAATCGGTAAGATGTTACTTCATTAAAAATCTCATTCGTTTCAAAAATGTACAAGTTGGAAAATAACAGCAAACATGTTTTAAGCGCTCAAAAATGGGCACTTATTTTTAAGATGGTAAGATGTTACTCGGATTACTCTTAAGATGTTAATCGGTAAGATGTTCTTCATTAAAAACCTCATTCGCTTCAAAAAGGAAGAAGGTTAGAAAATAACAGCGTTTTAAGCGCTCAAAAATGGGCACTTGTTTTTGAGTGCTTGAAACATGTCCTATGTTATTTCCAATTTTTATATTTGTAATTGTTATTTTGTATTAATTATTTTAATTGCATGAGGTAGCTAAATACAGTTTTGCATGATATTTTATGAACGTAAATGTATGTTATTAAATAAATTTGCAATCTAATGATTTTAAAATAGTAACACTATGCCTTTATCATAAAATGATTTTAAATTCTGGTCTGTATAATATATTTGTTTCCCCAAATATAATAATTGTCAGTTAAAATTTTTTGTTCTTGCATTATTTACTTTGCAACGAATATTAAAAGTCATAATTTTTATTTTTCCAGAATATACGGCTCTATTGACTGGAAAGATATTAGTTCCACGAGTATCGGTTTCTGGAGAAGCAGTATCACGAGCAACAGTTGCTGGAGCAGCACGTGGTTATTTTGTTTTTACTAAACGAGATCTTCATTATACCATAAATTACAGAGGGTAAGTTGAATCGAAGTTAACGCATGCTTTGATGAATTCTTCTACAAGGCACACTTTCCACGTGTATTTTCTTAACTTTCTTATTATGGTTACTGAGGTGACAAATTTTACCATAATTATTACAATTACATTGTAAAGATTATGGTTTTATAAATGATAAGAAAAAATTGCGGTTCTTTTCCTGTTTGAAATACTTTTTCTTACCTTTACTACCAAGAGTTATGAAATGTTGTCGTTTTCTACTAATTTGCGATTTTTTTTTCTTTTTCTCAAACAATTAATTCTAAGAACAACAGAAAAAAACTATTTGATACAAACAAGAAACAAAAAAAAAGCAAGGAAATATCATCTGCCAACAAGTTATTCTGTGAATTAGTCTTCTTTCCTTATGCAAAAAAGCAAAAGAACATAAACTCAAATTTCAAAAAATTGTGATCAGTCATTTTTAGTGGTTCGAATGAAAGATGCTAAAAAGACAAGATTTATTTCTAAGTACCAAATACAAGAACATTAATTCCAAGTAGTCAATTTTGATTTTAACATTTTATAATGAAGTATAAAATTTTAGTGTTGTATAATTTTTAATTTATCAATTATTAACTATACCATTTCATTTTTATAATTAATGTTTTAATGTATTTTCTGTTCTAAAATTCTTGGTTTTGCAAAATTATTTGCATGTTAAAGGGAGTTAATTTTACAGAATTCCACGCCCTGCGTCAGTTCGCTTTACAAATGAAGAAGGAAACATATTGGAAGAACATGAAATTCCCATTGCACCCCACCATGTTCAAGGATCAAAAGTATGTTAGTATTTTTAGATGTATCTGATTATGATTCTTTTTTTTGGAATTTATGTAACTAATGGAATAAATTTTGTAATAGAATATATCAATATATAATCCAATTACTCTTTTTTATGTAAAAATCGCAATGGTTTCAAGCAAAAGATTCAAAAATTAATTATCTGTAAAATGCATAGTTAACGGGTTGAGAAGCGTGGTGCGGAGGCTGGATGAATATTAGCACCATCTTCCCTCCGATCATAATTGTGGAATTTTAGTGTGAGCAAGTAATGACTCTTTAAGGTTGAATAACCAAACAGTTCACCACAGGGATAGAAATTAAGAAAATTTAGCCACTAATTCGAAGCACCAGTATATCAAGAAACTAAATCAACATCAATGGATTGTTGTGAAGTTGCTATTGGATTGACTATAGAAGATATTCTCCTCTCCCAAGTACCACAAATGAGACTTAAGTTTAAATTATAATATCACAACTCAAGTTGCCATAATACTTGACCTTGAGTTGTGTTAAAAAGGAAAGAGCATGGAAGTGTTAGTCATTACCTCAAATTCATTACTTCAATAAACCTTTCGTCGACGATGATAAAATTTAAATGAATAATACATTCGTAAGTTTTTTTAATCCTTTTTTTTAAAATTAATGGCCTATTTTAATTCCTTTATAGGTTTGTGGTGTTTGGAGAAGAGTTCCCAAAGTCTATCGTCGATTGCTTCAAAAAGAGAAACTTATCTTTATATTGGTAACTAGCTCACATGCTGATGGAATTGTTGGAGGGAGAATTATGAAACACAATTCTATAAATACAGGTGAGACTTTTCTTAAAATTTATGGGGATTGTGTTCTAGGGCAGCGGTTGAGAATTTTTTTCGGCTATGGAACCCTGAATGGTTAACCATCTTTCGACNGGACTAATTACTGTTTCTGATATTTAAAATGTCTTACAGTTGAAGTTCAGTTAGGAATTGGTTTTTGGTGTATATGTATAAACTGAAACATGAATGAAACGAGACGAATTCTGCTTTTCGTTTGAGTGATAACAAAAAATAACTACGATAAACATTGAAAGTGGTTATCAAGAAAGTATTTTTCTTTATTAGCGAATTAGATTATTTTATTCTAATTTAAATAGCTTGATGGGAATCTATTGCAATAATTTTAAAGCCTGTATTTTATATAATTCAATCAATAGAAAAAAAAACCCTTTAATTTTTTTTAATTGGCCCCTTATTTTATGATTTCGTAAAAGTAATCGAAATATTAAGTAAATACCAGATAATTAATTGGATATAAATGTAATTATAGGTCTCAAAAATGTTAAAACTAACTGTTTAAGAAAAGTCCCAACTCTCGGAACCCCTATAACTTTTTCTCGGAACCTTCCGTGGAACACTAGCTTGAATTTAGGTGCGATTCAACTACCCAAATTTAAATAAATTGATTTTGAAGTATTTTCTATGAGTAATTCTTAATCCTAAATAACTGACAAAAAGTAAATAATCACTTCATGAAACATAACTGAAAAATATTGGCCACAATCGATCAATCAAACCTTTTATAAACGATCAAATTCTGCATTATTTTTTTTTTTTTTTTTTTTGAAGGATCTTTTGAGTATTTTTCGCGTGTTTGATGTTTCTTTAAATTGGTAATAGAAGTAATATTTTTTTAAAAATGAAATTGGACAAGTGTGGAGTATTTCGTAAATACCACCCTTAATAATTTTAGATTCCTTGTCAAAGTGAGTTGAAAATGTATTCCATTTTAGTGAGCTCAAATTATTATTTTTTAGGGAATAAAGAATAAAAACGCTGTAAAAGTCTAATGAGCCTATCTTTGGGAGGGCAGGAGTAATAACAAACATTTTTTTTCTTTACTTTTGACATATTCACCTTCAAGATAATATGCATTTTCAACGCTTTCATTCTAGGAGAAACAATCCCTTGCTTAGATAATAAGATGCTTACGATTCTTGTCTATCGTGTCGATAAATCTGTAGTTAAATCTGTAATCTCTCAATGTAATTAGACTACTAGATCTATTGGATGCTTGTTTTAAACTGTCTTAATTTTTGTGAAGGATCCTTCTTTTTTTTTTTTTTTAAATAGTACTAGATTTTATTAAGAGTACAGAAATAAGATATGTAGGTTGATTTGTTACCATAAAACTGAAATTTTCCAGATCTTGGACCCCTTGATCTAGAGTTGAACAGTCCTAATGCCCAACACTAGATAATCTCCGTCAGCACGCATCCTCATACTTATTGTTAGTTTGAAATGCGCTTCAGCGAATTAAAAGTTATCTCAACTTGTATTAAAAAGAGCGTGAAGTGTGTAGATGTAGCGTAAAGATTCTTAACTCTACCAACTCAAAACTGCAAAATAAACCTTCTGCGTATTGCGACTGGAGGGAAAAAAATGGATGTATGGGCAGGGGCATAGGGAGATCTTCGATATTTGTCATCGGAGGGTTCGCGGACCAAAATAACTGGAGGAGCTGTCTTGTCTGTCGTGTCGTCTGGGTTCGTGTGCCGTTTTTCTCCAGAAACTGTCTTCGTGATAAAGATGAACCAACAGCTGCTCAGAAGAGCAGTTCACGCTCTTAAAATCGGTAGTTTACGCGCAGATTCTTTTTTTTAAATTGCCTTTTTTATTAGAGGTTGAAGGTACCACGCTGTCTGCAGGGTTCATGCTCACGGTTCGACGGTAGCACGTTATTTGGGAGGTGACATACATCTTTTTGTAACACATCTATTTACCTTTTGCTTTTTTTTCTCCCTCTCCTGTTCTTTCGAAAAGCTTGGGAATCTACGGGGTTGCACCTTACGTAACAAATGACTCTAAGGGAAAGCGTAAACCGCACTACGCAGTTATGCTTGTTTTTATGATGAGCATGGCAAATCCTGGTATGCCTCTGTGTTTTAAATGAAAATGATTTATAATATATTTAAGTTCAGCTCTTTCTCTCAAGTAATTGTTGCTGTTTAGAGAAATTCTAATTCTAAAATCCGGATATTAAAAAATTTAAAATTATGTTGGTCAGAACTTAGGTAATTAATAGTTAGCAATAAAGATATGAATATTTTCGACAATTCTTATGGCAAAAATCCAATTTAAAGAATCTTAATATTTTCACAAATTGAACCATCCTGAATGGTTTTACAAATTACTTGTCAGGGGTCCGTTTAGAAGAAATTTGGGGCCGTTAACGGACCCTTCACAAAATATCTTTTCATAAAAACGAACCCTTCACAAAATATTTTAACTTAAAAACGGACCCTTTACAAAACGATTTTTCTTTTAATCGGACCCTTCACAAATTTGTTTATCTTCATTATTGTTTTGTTAATCAAATAAACCCTTCCCCGGGCAGAAAACAAGAAAGACGGATGTAAATGAACTAAATTTTGTCTTCTGCTGACGCTTCTTCCTTTATTCGTCCGAAATGAATATTCTGCATTCGGCAGTATAGGCTAAATACCAAATATTTATTTGTTGCATCGCTAATTTAGTAGCTGCAATTACTGTTTATTTTTTAAATTTTAATTTTTTTAATTATAAATTTACAGTGTTGAGTATAATCTTAAACTTTACAATTTAAAACTCCTTGAAAAAGTTTTTTTTGCAATAACGGACCCTGGTTGAAAGAATGTGACTTAACGTTTATTTTATATTCACAAATTACGAGTAATTTTTTCACAATTTTTTAAAAACGGGCCTATCACAAAATGTTTGGACAGACCCCTGCTTGTTCTATCTGAAATAAAGAATATCCATTATTATTTATCCATAGTAGGTGGTAAATATCACAAAAATTAAAATTTGGATTTTTATTTTTAATCTCTAATGGGTTGTAGGACAGTCAAAACGAAATGACCCACTGTATGAACTGTTAGAAATTTTGAAGCTCAATAACGGACAGTTACAGTACAAAGTGTTTTTGCTTTGTTAATAATTTGTAATGCAGCACAAATTGATTGTATAATTATATCATGCAGCATAATTAATATCAATTAATGTTAATTAGCTTTGCTAATTATTTTTAATACAGCATATATTTTTAGATTTTAATCCAACAAGAAAAATTAGGAAGTAGTTATACAATTGTATGTTAAAAACCATTTGGAAGCTCTACAACTACATTCTATAAACTCGCTTTTGTGTGTTTAAAGGTAAAATTTCAGCCTCCGTTCGACTAACTAGAGCAGGGCTCGAANTTTTAGATTTTAATCCAACAAGAAAAATTAGGAAGTAGTTATACAATTGTATGTTAAAAACCATTTGGAGGCTCTACAACTACATTCTATAAACTCGCTTTTGTGTGTTTAAAGGTAAAATTTCAGCCTCTGTTCGACTAACTAGAGAGAGACTAACTAGATAGAGTACTAAAATCTTAACTGGATTTCTGTACGTGTCGATAATGCTAATTTAAATTTTTCTGTGGCAGCTAAAAGTAGTTGCCGCTTTATCCTTACGAGGAAATTAATCGTCCAAAAGAAAACTACTATAATTTTCGGACTAATTACTGTTTCTGATATCAATGCAAGTTTCGATCTATTCTTCACCGATGCACGTTTAATTTATCACCATATTACCACTTGAAGACAAGGATGGTTAGTCCGAATTTCGACCTTTATCTAAATAATAATATTGAAATATTGAAAAAAACAAGTTTCAGTTGTTGCCTGATAGCTAGAAGCAAAATTTATATCGCTATTTTATCGCTAAGTAGATCAAAAATTCGACTACTTTCCGATTAGCTAGAGAATTCAAATTTCAATTAGAGTCTGGTACCAATACAAATTGCAATTGTTTTCTAAATAGAACAAGCAAAAGTAAATGCCATTTTAAATGACGACTTCTTTCTGACATAAATTAATAGAGACAAAAAAAAATGAAGAAAAAAGTAAAATAAATTGATTGAAAGTGACTCAAATTGATTGAAAGTGAGTAAATATCTTTAATTTTTAACTAACTTTAATAAGTAAACAAAAAACGCAGGAAACGTCATTTACGCAATAAATTTTTATCGCTAGCGAGAAACCCCCCCCCATGTCGTTTAAAAGTGATGCGACTTAACGTTTTTTGTTTTAAATCTGATAAATATAAAATTATATGCTTCTTTTTAATCCACTTGAAAATGGTTATTATAAATTTTTAATATAAAATTGAAATGAAATTTGTATGTAATGTTGTAAGTCTTTTGAAGTTTTTATTATTATTTTGTTAAGTTGACAAGAAAAAGAAAATGAATAGCTGAATATGTAATAGTTCTATCACTTACAACAACATATTTTATGTATCCATTAAAATCAAGTCAAACATTGCTTTCAGCTGAAATCTCTTATTTCAAATTTATTGCATTGTTTATTCTGGAAATCCGGATACAGACATTACGATTATGAAAAGAAAACACTTTTCTACTATTTTCGGCTCGCGTTTCTAAAACCAGTTAATGTTCGTCTTTCTTCATTTCATGATTTCCACTATTTCAATTTGTTTAAGGGTGTGTTATCTTTTTTAGCATTCCAAAGAAACTCGTTTCCATATAACATTTAAAGTTTGAAAATAGTTTCGGGATGTTGGTTTAAACTTTAAAAATAGTCTTTGAGCCAAAAGTGTTTTTCCAAAGTGGTTGGAAATAATTCAACACATCAACACATTCCAATATAGAAACATTCGGGAAAATAACAGAAATGAAAGTGACTGAAAAAAAAAAATATCTTCTTCATTTTTCTGAGAGCCACTGCAAGAGAAAAAGAAGTCTAAAATCTTGTTCTTTAAATATTTGGATAAGCGTTTTTTCTATAATCAAACATTTGTAGCGTCTTGAAAGCTGTTGGAAACATTTTTTTAGTTGTGTTATTTTAAAAATAACTTAAATCGTTTTTTTAAAAAAATTATTTTTGTTCACTCAATCACTTTGTTATCATATACAGATTTAAAAATAATTAGCAATTTTTCGTATCCTAAAAAATTCTTTTAAAATGCCAAGCTCTTTGCTCGTATTTTTTTAGAGAAGACATTTAATCGATATTAATTCATATTCTGTTGTAACCGTACCATAGGACATTGATTCTATGACCTTATATGAAACTAAGTTATTAATGAAACTAAATAGTTATGTACTTAAAAATAAGAAAATTAATTTGTTTCATAGTTAAAGCTGAAGAAAGGTCGAGATGTTTGAATAATGAAAACAGTAGGAGACAGTAGTGAACAATGAAAACAGAAATGGGGTAGAATTAAGAAAAGGTACAGTTACCTACGAAAAATAAAAAATTAACAAGGAAAACCCTTAAAAGAAACCGCGGTATTCTTAGAGACTGTGGCTGCCAAAAGGAATTTAAGTTTTTGGGAGCTATATTCTTTGAAACAAAGTTATATCTTAACTTTAATAACTTGAATAATTAATACAATTCTTCAATTATTATTTAAAATAATGCATCTTTATTACTTTATTTAATCTGTTTGCAAAGAAAAGTCTTTGTTTTCTACAAAAACTTCACTGATAGGATTTTATTAGAATAGTCAGCAGATACCTGTTAATTTTGCGTTCGCGGAACTGAATTATTTATACTCTCAAATAATTTTATTGCTATCAATAATAATTATCTGATTAGGAACATACCTTTCAATTAGTAGACAATCAGAATTTGTGTCACGCGAATCAGTGAAATAATATATTATGATTTTCATAATAGAACCTGTATAATTTGTTTGTTCTTGTTGTTTTAGAGGCGTACGGAACACTTTTACTTCCAAGCATAAAATCTGGTGATTTGGCGAATGAAACTCAAGGTACTGGTGGTATGGCGAACATTTTCCCAGTGACAGATAGTATTCATGTATCACTTGGTTTTAACGGCATATTCACGGCTGAAGGTAAGTTTTTTTTTAAAAAGTCCTCAAATATAAAATTATCTGAATCATATCTAAGAATTTAAGGTTTGATTTAGTTGCATTATTCATTTGTTTTGTTGAAAAATCTGCTATTACGGTAAAAAAAATCTATTCGGAAACTTAACTTAAACTTAGTTTTCAGCTGTGATGAGTTTTATTAACCCTTTGAAGCAGAATTTTTATTATACATATTTTTCACACTTTTTTTTCACTATTTTGTATTAATTTAGGCCAAAATAAGTGAACAATATTATATTTAGCTTTTCAATAAGTTATGTATATAAAATACAACGTGAGACACCGGCGTCTTTTAAGTGTGAAGGGCGAAATTCTCCAAACACGGCTCACTTCCGAGCAATAATTTTGCAAATTTGCACTTATTTGCAATTATTTAGATCTAAGAGAAACAAAATTTGAAATTCATTTAAAAAATCATTGAAATTTCTTTAATTTCCAAAATTAATTATTGAGGAACTTTTAAATGAGAAAGAAAAAAAAAATTCTATCTACTTTTTTGGATTTTAAATTTTAGTAGAAATTTAATTCTGATATTCTAACAGATGTTTTAGTAACTATTGGAGTGTTTTTTATAATAAAAAAATGCCTAAATGTATTTTTACGTGGAATTAGAGCACCAGAAAAAAAAAGCATAAAAGGGACAGAGTGTCTCGTCTCCGTCAAAGAGATAAAAAACATGACATTAGCATAGTTTTTTTATAGGTATATTGTTTAAGAACATAACTTCATCTGAGTAAATTTTATTACGAAACTTATTTTCAGCTTCATCTTTTTACTTTGCTGTATTTTGTTACGAAACATAACAACTTAGGCTTGATGACCAAAATTAACAACCAACAACTCCAAATTAACAACCATGACGAATATTATTGCTAATCATGACCTTAACTTTATTTTTAACTGTGATAAATTTTATTATAAACATATTTTTTTACCTTAGTTTGTACTTTTGATGTATTTTGATATATTTAAACATAACTTCAACTTAGATTCTAATCGTAATGAATTTTGTAGTGAAACGTTATCTACATTATATTTATTTTTAGATATCCGAGATGTGCCATTGATTGTTAGCCTTTTCTATGAAGATATGGATGGAAAGTTGCTGCCAATATCTGAAAGTTTAATTTCGTTACCAAAAGTGCACCCCGTATGTATAATTTCGTTATTGCTGTTTTAAGGAAATTGTTTTGAAGTAAAAATTTTATTTAATGCTATTTTTTTTTAAATCTTGAATTGCGAGGTATAATTAAATTAATCTGAAGTTTTTCGCTTTTTTTCCATAGCTTTTCAGTTGGCTTATTACTTTTACTTAAGTTTCACAATTGATTATACATATAAATATATATTAATTTTTATATTAGAAAGATTTACTAGTGGGATTTTAATTGTTTCATCGAACTTTTGATTTCTTTAAGTGTCCTATAGTGTTTGAATTCGTTAACTCTTATTGCATTTAAAATATACTAATGAAATAAAAAAAATTTCGATTAGTAATGTAAGCAGATGATGATTTAGAAATAAATACCACTTTGTATAATTTATTAAGAAAAAGAGTGGGTGATAATGCTATTTAGCATTTGGGCGCAAATGGATTCCTTATGTATATATTATTTCGATTATCCGAAGTTTATCCAGTTTAGATAATCGAGTTCTTGCTCCCCCCCCCTTTCCTAATATTTTTTTTAGTTGACAATTTTAAAACTACATAATTATATTAGTTAAATAACTTGATTATGTATAAAATCATGATGTTTAATTTCCAGCACTATAACAGCGCGACTGTCAAACTGGATCTGGCACCGCATCTCCAGGAGCGTCTGTCCAGCGGGAAGTTCGAACTTCGGATATCGTCCAAGGACGGACAACGCCTCCAGAGCGGACGCATCATGCCCAAGGTTACTTGCAACGGTAGGTTTATCCCATAACATCCTTCATTCTCGATTATGTCCGGGTTGGGAACCTCTGATGCTTCTAATCAAAGATGATCATGATCTATTCCCCCCTCTCTTTTTTTTCTTCTTCTCTATACCATCGATGTCCAAGATATCGCCGATAATTGACGCGGCTCCCAGTCCCAACTAATTAGTCAATCGGCTTTTTCTCTTTTATTGACACAACGCGTGGTTCTGAATATTCATTAATAGTCTGGAGATAATATCAGATAGGAGGCTAAGAAAAGGATGTGAAAACATTTTGCCTTTGCTTTTGTTGGTGCTGCTGCTTCATTCCTAATTTATTTCTTATGTGTTTGAATTTTCCATTCTTTTGGAGACCGAGAAGAATGTCTTGTCTATCAGTTTATAATTGGAAAATAATTTAAAACGTGTTATTGTGTGTTTTTAATTTAAGATATAACTTTACTACTTGACGTTCACCTTGCGTTGCGCCTCAAGCATGAAAAGATGTTAAATTATACCTCAAATATATCCGAGACGTATAAATCGATTTCTATTTGATTTGAAACTAATTCATCTATCTAATTAATTAATCTATTTGATTTTGTTTCAACAGTATATATTTTTAAATACTTTTCCTTAAAAAATTCTTTTGAGAATCAGTATTAAACATTCAAATTTTAGTAATGAACAGTTTACATTGCATAATTTTAACTAGATTAATCAAATTAAAAAAAAGTGATATTAATATTGATCCAGAAATTCGCTGTTCCTCCGTTTAGTAAGCGTTAGCAGCGAAACAAAGTGAGATACGTATATGCAATTTCTTTAACAATAAAAACATTTTTTTTGATAAATTTTCTCTTTTTTATTATTTTAGTCTTTTTTTACTATAATATATAATATCTCTTTATTTATAGAAGATCAGTTGATATTTTAATGTTAAATAAGTTTTTAATTTATTTCCTGATTCATTACTTAGTGTTAATATTGGAAAAAAAGCATTTCGTGAAAAAGTATTGATCCCTGGCTGAGGCTCAATATTACATTCGTTTGTTAATTTAATTGAACAGCTGACTGGACACTTTAGTGAACTTATAGTTATGTAGTTTTTTACCAGAGGGCTTTGTAAGCGGTTTTATCTTGAAGACAATAGTCACTCTACAGGGGTCTGTTTAGAAGAAATTTGGGTCCGTTAACGGACCCTTCACAAAATATCTTTTCATAGAAACGGACCCTTCACAAAATATTTTAACTTAAAAGCGGACTCTTCACAAAATATTTTAACTTAAAAACGGACCCTCCACAAAATTATTTTTCTTTTAATCGGATAAGATAAATTTGTTTATCTTCATTGTTATTTTGTTAATCGAATAAACCCTTTCCAGCGCAGAAAACAAGAGAGATGGATGTAAACGAATTAAGTTTTGTCTTCGGCAGACGATTCTTTCATTATTCGTCCGAAATGAATATTCTGCGTTCAGCAGTATAGGCTAAATACCAGCTATTTATATGTTGTATCTCTAGTTTAAAAGCAGCAATTGTTGTTTATTTTTTAAAATTTAATTTTTTTGATTATAATTTTGCAGTGTTGAGCATAATCTTGTATGTCTTTATAATTTAAAAACTCTTTGAAAAAAATATTGTTTTTGCAATAACGGACCCTGTTTGCACAAATTCATAAAAACGGACCCTGGTTGAAAGAATGTGAGTAATTTTTTCACAATTTCACGAAAAACGGACCTTTCTCAAAATGTCTGGACAGACCCCTGCTCTACTATTTCTAAACATCATTTATGTTAAGATGCTGATTAATAAATCTGCATGATTTAAGGATTAAATCTTTATTCCCTTCTGAATGTTTTGTTTTATTCGTGTATTCTTACTTTGAAGTAAATGAGTTCTCACTTGAGTCAAAGGATCATTTATATATTCACTGGGTTATATATTCACTGCGTTATCATTTATTTCCCACCTTTGAAATAGTGCGAATGAGAACGAACTTCGTATAATAATTACATAAGATTTAAAATGCAGTTATGTTTAAAACAATTAAAGATTTATTTTCTATGTATGTGGATAAATTTATTGCATTTTTATAGTGTTTGAAGCTGTTATCACGCCCACTGAAATAGTAGATACAAGTAAAGATCCGATTACAGGATTTATAATACTTGACATAGGCTCAGAAGGATTCATAAATTATAAGGTGAGTCTTATTTTAAAGTATTATACATTTTGTAACATTTTTCTTAGTTCGTTACTAACTAATGATTAATTTTATTATCCATTTAATTTAAAAAAAATTCGTATTCTTATGTAGTATATCATATAAGTGTATCATCGTAGTATATCATTGCGATATATTCGCAGATTTACTGTTATTTTTTTTTCTGCACTATATTAAACACATATAATATTTAACCGAATTTATTTATTACATTTTGTATTTTCCTACTGTTCCAATTGTTTAATGAGTTAATTGTTTCTGTGTGTTATTTATTTCAGTTGCACGTCAGCGATCCAAGCATTGAATCTGCCACAATTCGATTAGAAACTAAAGTAGAAACACCTAATGGTACAGGGATGCGTGTGTTACAACAAGTTTCACAAAACCTAACTAATTCATGGGTAAAATATTTCTTAATTCCTTTTTTGTAAATTATGATGCTTTACCCACTTTTTTTTTAAAGAAAAAAATTATTTATTATGTTTTTTTTTCTTCCAATTTTTAGAAAATAAAATTATATGATGGTAAAAAATTACAATGCACCATTTAATCATGATTAATTTTTTTATCCATATCAATAAGTTTGTATAACATAAGAAAGGACTTATAATCTTTTCAGGTTCTTATGCACTAAACAGCTTTCCCTTTATTCTTAAGTATTAACTGATGAATATATTTATTCATTGAATATCGGCAGGATTCATAACGTAATGTTATTTTCTGTTCTGAAATCTGTACTGCAAAATTGTATGTTCTAGCATTAGTCTTTTTTCTTCTTTTTTTTAAAGAAAAATAATTTGTTGAAATGCAGTTTGCGCAGAATTTAAAAATTATTCTAATAATCCGTGCCAAAGAGACAACACATTTCCTGTAATAGAAAAAAGAATAGTATAATTTATTGAGAATAGTATAGTTCATGATAATACTATAATTCCCATATATGGTTTTCCATGGTGTTTTAAAATATAAATCCATAGCAAGTGAACTCTAATAAAATCGATTCCTGGTGTAATTTTTATTCTTGAGCGAACCTCACTCAATAATGTACAGGGTGTTTCGCAATTATCATTCTTAATGTTTATTATTAGGCTCATTGAAAAAAATCAAGTCAAATAGAACCTATGCAGTTGGCGACGCAAATTAATATTTACGTTAGGGATAATATCGAAATCTGACTAATCATTACTGAAAAAATTGAGACTAAAAACATCGAGATTTGTTTAGGTTCGAGTTTAAACATGGTGCGTAGCGTTTTTAAATAGTGCTTAAAAGTTTTTATTTTCGATTTTCGTTTTTAAAAGCCCTTAAAGTTGTTTTTTTTAATGGGGCGTTTTTAAAAAGTGCTTAATTTTCCCTTTTCGAAAATGGGATTTTTTTTTTCTTTAACCATGTCGATTTTCGCAAACGCGTGGTTTTTATATTCAGGGGTCTGTCCAGACATTTTGTGAAAGGTCCGTTTTTCGTGAAACTGATAAAATTACTCACATTCTTTCAACCAGGGTCCGCTTTTATGAATTTGTGCAAATAGGGTAACACCCGCATTTC